TCTTTTTTGTTTTATTCGTTCTATTCTCTCTTCTCATCTGTCCTGTTATAACAGGTATATTTACTGTTGAAAATGCCGATGCATCGAAAACTTGCCATAACTGCCACAGTGTAATCATTTGGTGGTGGCAAGTTTGTGTCCCAGTGTGGCGATGGTATACAATGTTTGTAGTGTAATTTGTGTTTTGGTTTCCTGATTTTTACTTTATTTATTTATCTAGTCTGAAACCATATCCTTCCTGTGACTGTATGTCTCGAGAGTTTTCCTAGTCATTGCAATATCTTTAAATAACACAATAGAACCAACCATTCATGATCTAAAAATTTTGAAAATATGGGGGCGACTGCAGTCAAGCCAATTAATACATGTAATATGCTCTTCTAGGGGTATGTGTTAATTTGCATTGCTTTCAGACGAACAGTGAGTTGAAACGACACAGCATGAACGAATATTGAGTTGTTTGCTTTTATTCGTTGAATCGCCAGTTATCGCATACATACATTCTCGCTCTCTCCTGCTCGTCTTGCTTGGCTGAATCTAGCGACTTGGTCGGACTTCTCACACACTACAGGAATTCATCAGCGTCTCTCGAACCATCCATCTATCCTTCACGAACCCTGGTACCTGACATTACCACGTGTGGAAAAAACATTCAGTCCTCCAATTTAAATATAACACTCGCTTCACAAATCATTTATTCTTCTCAGGCGTCCACTCATGCGTCCTCTCTCAGCCAGGGCCGAACTTCCACTGTCTTACTCCTGTCTCTCGGTTCACGTCTTCCGTTCACATCTCATGCTTTTCTTGTGTCCCTCACTTTGTTCACCATGAGACACACGAGACCCACTTCTCCCATTTTTCTCTACTCTCACGGGTCCTCCGACCTTTTCCTCCCCATCGGGAACTCTCTGGGATTTCCCCGGGAATTCACAATATTACAATCTCCCCCTCCCTTCTAGTAAAAAAATGTAACCTTAATTTTTTTTTCTATTACTTTATCTTTAGGTTATAATTTTAAAGGTTTGGGAATACTTTAATGTTATGATGTGGATTACCTAATAATCATTTTGGGTTTTGGTGGTTACTTCCCCTTTACTAGGTTTTACATTATTTCCCTTTGTCACATCACCAGTTATTGTATCCAGTAAGTACCAAGTGGCTTAATGGGAATCAACCATTCTGGCACTCTCTTCCAAGTGCGGCAGTCCATATAGTCTCTGCGTATTAACCCCATCCCAACCCACAGTCTGTATAAAACAGAACAACAATTCTGGGACTCTCTTTCAAGTACTGAAGTCTATATCGGCTATGGGACAGAAGTGTAGAAAACCCGCAAAGTCCCACCCTAACCGTTGGACTTATGGCTACTGTCGCTGGTTTCCGTTTCAATTAGAGCTTCACGTTTCCCTATTGAGGATTTCGATCCCAATCCCTTGGATTATGTGGTGTTCATTACCCATCATTTTTCTCAAGAAGTATTATTATTCCCTTTCTATATCATAGTAATTACCCTATTACATGTTTTACAATCATTATTTTCACCAAAAAGTCTGTATAAACATATACAATCATTATTAAACCTTATTTCACTTTTCTTTTTTCTGTGTTGGACTTTGTTATGACTGCTACTCTTCTTGCTTCTTTCTTCCATACTTCCTGACTCATTCTTTGGCCTTTTTCTTCTGTTTGGATTTTCATTATTCCTTTCACTCTCCACACATTCTTCTTTGGGGTATGGAGTGTTAACTTTTGCATCTTCACTTTCACTTGGGTTGACACATTCATTGGGATTTGGGGGGTTGTTTTTCGTAACATCACTCTCACTCACATTACAGCATTCTTTCGGATATGGGGGGGGGGGGGGGGGGGGGTTGTCTTCTATACTTCCATTCTCATAACACTTTGGAATATTCCTTTGTTCCCAATCTACAATGTCACTCTCGGTTACTGTTCTCAAATCTTCCCTGTTTCTCAAAATCAAATCAGCACAAGGGGATGGTAATACTGCAACAGTTATGAGCTTTTCTATATATGGTGTTTTAACAAACATGATAGCAAGTCTATATCTTTCGATGTTACCACCAAAGGTACAACAATTGATGTATTTGTCTGTTAAATCTTCTGGTCTAACCAATCTTTGATGCACTTCGGAAATAGATGCACCACTGTCCCTAAGGAGTGATATGGTTTTCTCATGGATCTGACCCTTCTGAAATTTCAGAGTACCGTGGCCGTGTGTTGCCAGATTAGCGTTCTGAATGGGTATCAGGTGTCCACACGGTAGGTTGCCTTCCTCGTGGAATTTAGAACAGATTTTACATTCTTCTTCTGTTTCGTACATGGTAACTGAATTGGCTTCAGCAGAGTCAATGTCTGAGTCATCATCTGATGTTGTACATACTACATGTGCCTCCTTAAACTGTTTTATAACAGGACAGTTACATCCAGTGTGAATATAAAATCGACAGATATAACATTTAACGGCATTTGTATGCCTATTTATCTTGTTTTTTCTATGAGCGATTTCTTCTGCCACTCTTTTCTGAAATTGTGGGCTCTCGTCACAAGGACTGTCGTCACCATGTTTTCCTTGACAGTAGTTACATTCGATGATTTTTACCTGTTTCTTGTCATAACTGAAGTCTTTTTTCTGAAATTTCTGTTGGAATGGTTTTGTATAGGCTGCTGCTCCCACTTCTATCAAATCAGAACTTGATTGCACGAAAATATCACGGTGTGCTGCAAAATAATTTTCACCTATTTCTTCTAAAGTATCTAAATTTGTTGGCTTATTTTCCATTGGGAAAGTTGCCATTGGCTGTGGAAGAGATTCTAACATTTTAAATCTTAACAGCAAATTAACCAATAACTTATAGTCATTTTTTTGCTTTGGCTGCTTCAACCCATTTTTTGGAATATGTTCTGCACTTCTGACAGATAGTTTGCAAATGTTTGACTACTTTTTGGTTTCAAATCGTTGAACTGTTTTCTGTAGCCAGCACCGTGTAGGTTGTAATGCTTCATTAATTTTTCTTTAATGTAATTGTAATCTAATCTTTCTGTTTCAGGAATTGTTTCCAGAATCTTTAAAGGTTCAAATGCCAGGTGTTTTTGAAAGATTAAAGGGTAGTCTTCCAGTGGGATGGTGTGCATGTGCATATTAAGTTCGAAATTGGCTATAAAAGCTCCGATGTCGTCTTCCTTGCAGTAATTTCGGACTATTCCTGCATATTTTTTGAATTTGTTCTCTTCTGCTTTTATTCTCTCTTTTTCTATTGCTGTAATTGTTTCTCTTCGATGTCTTTTTGCATCAATAACTCCATTTGTTTTAATTCAGCTTCTTTCACTGCTTCTTTCTCTTTGAGACGTAGTTCGTGTTCGCGCATAAGTCTGCGTTTTTATCGTTCTTCTGCTGCTTTTCTCTTCTGTTCTTCTTTCTCTTCTGCTGCTTTTCTCCTTTCCTCTTCTACCTTCTCTTTATGTTTTTCATCCACATAGTTTTTTAACTCGTCGCCCTGAAGGCCTAATTCTTTACCAATGGCTACCCATTCCGCCATTTTTGACCTGTAGATGTATACAATATTCCTGTACAAATACAACAAATACAAACCCTGGTACCTGACATTACGACGTGTGGAAAAAACATTCAGTCCTCCTATTGAAATATAACACTCGCTTCACAAATCATTTATTCTTCTCAGGCGTCCACTCATGCGTCCTCTCTCAGTCAGGGCCGAACTTCCACTGTCTTACTCCTGTCTCTCGGCTCACGTCTTCCGTTCGCATGTCATGCTTTTCTTGTGTCTCTCACTTCGTTCACCACGAGACACACGAGACCCACTTATCCCGTTTTTCTCTTCTCTCACGGGTCCTCCGACCTTTTCCTCCCCATCGGGAACTCTCTGGGATTTCCCCGGGAATTCACAACATTACAATACACAGGAATTCCAGAGAAATAAGACTAAAAAGCTCAACAAAATAGCGAAACAGAAAAACGTACACAAAACAACACAAAGTTCCGGCTAGGCAACCTTTTTCAAACATAAGTGAACTACACAAACGTAACAACGAAGAGAGGAAAGTATGTCTTCCATTGGATGTCTTCCATCGGATGTCTTCCATCGTATGTCTTCCATCTGTTGTCCCAGAAAATCGCACATATGAATTTTTTTTTTTTAAACTAAGTCCTTCTATTGTCCCTGTCAAGTGTCAATATTTGTTTGCTGACCACAGAGATACGTTCTGTTGTGTATGACCAGATATCTGAGAAACATAGCGCCGAAGTTATCCCTCTCAATGTTTGTTTGCCGACCCTAGAGATACGATCTGTTGTGTATGACCAGATTTCTGAGAACTGTAGCGCCGAAGTTATACCTGTCAATGTTAGTCTACTGACTCCAGAGCTACTTTCTGTTGTGTATGACCAAATTTCTGAGAACTATAGCGCCGAAGTTATCCCTCTCAATGTTTGTTTGCCGACCCCAGAGATACGATCTGTTGTGTATGACCAGATTTCTAAGAACTATAGTGCCGAAGTTGCCCTTGTCAATGTTTGCCGACCCCAGAGATACAATCTGTTGTGTATGACCAGATTTCTAAAAACTATAGTGCAAAAGTTGTCCGTTTCCAAATTCTGGCCTGATTGGCTGAGCTAGGGGTATACTTGTACATTACCGACACCTTTTATTCCTGGTCATTAAATCGCCCTTTGTGGAAGCACACTGGGCTCCTCGCGAAAATATGTTACCTAGACGGTGTTGAAGCTGAACTGGACTTTTTTAAAACTATATAGGACATTTTTCACAAAAAACTTGACTGCTCTCAACCTGTGTTGGTGTTTTTCCTAATTCAACGACGGGTAGCGCTTAATGTTTAAATAGAACTTGCTGTTAATTCTAATATTCAAGTTGATGTTCAAACTATTGTTTAACAATGTTTGTTAGTTGGTTGGCCTGTGTTCACCCTGCTAATGTAGTAACGATTGATTTCTCTCCGACCAGGGACGACTACTGTGAAGGTTGTAACGCCAGGTTCTTCATCAGCAAGACGGAAGTGACCCAACAGTGTTGTAAGTGGATAATTGTTTGATTTCTCCAACACAGCCATGTCCCTACAGGAAACAGTAGATATGATGTTCACTTCTGTGTCATATTTAGAATACTGGAGACGACATTATGTTCTGTTCTTTCTATCTTACTCTATCGCTCTCTCTGTCTCTCTCTCTCTCTCTCTCTCTCTCTCTCTCTCTCTCTATATATATATATATATATATATATATATATATATATATATATATATATATACATATATATACACGCATATATATATACACACACACATATATACACACCATAAGCAAACAACAAACCGAAACAAACGCACACACACACACACGCACACACAGACACGCACGCACACTAGAAACATTGAAAAAGTAACTGTCCACATTTTTGGCCTTTGCCAAACTGTTTGTGTTAAACTTGTGAAAGTCCTAGAAAATCGCACATGTGAATTTGTCTATTCTAACTAAATATTTAGAGCGACATCGGACTTATTGCCAGCCTCAACAAGCACTTTACATATATGACTTAGTGCCAGCCCTAACAAGCACTTTACATATATGACTTAGTGCCAGCCTCAACAAGCACTTTACATATATGACTTAGTGCCAGCCTCAACAAGCACTTTACAAATATGACTTAGTGCCAGCCTCAACAAACGCATTACACATATGACTAAGTGCCAGCCTCAACAAACGCATTACATATATGACTAAGTGCCAGCCTCAACAAACGCATTACATATATGACTTAGTGTCAGCCTCAACAAACACATTACATATATGACTTAGTGTCAGCCTCAACATGCGCATTACATATATGACTTAGTGTCAGCCTCAACAAGCACATTACATATATGACTTAGTGCCAGCCTCAACAAGCACATTACTTATATGACTTAGTGTCAGCCTCAACAAGAACATTACATATATGACTTAGTGCCAGCCTCAGCAAACGCATTACGTATAGGACTTAGTGTCAGCCTCAAGAAGGGCCTTACATATATGACTTAGTGCCAGCTTCAACAATCGCCTTTTATATATGACTTAGTGCCAGCTTTAACAATCGCCTTTTATATATGACTTAGTGCCAGCTTCAACAATCGCCTTTTATATATGACTTAGTGCCAGCCTCAACAAACACCTTACACATATGACTTAGTGCCAGCCTCAACAAACGCGTTACATATATGACTTAGTGCCAGCCTCAACAAACGCCTTACACATAGGACTTAGTGCCAGCCTCAACAAACGCGTTACATGTATGACTTAGTGCCAGCCTCAACAAACACTTTACATATATGACTTAGTGCCAGCCTCAACAAGCGCGTTACATATATGACTTAGTGCCGGCCTCAACAAACGCGTTACATATATGACTTAGTGCCAGCCTCAACAAACACTTTACATATATGACTTAGTGCCAGCCTCAACAAGCGCGTTACATATATGACTTAGTGCCGGCCTCAACAAAAGCTTTACATATGTGACTTAGTGCCAGCCTCAACAAGCACTTTACATATATGACTTAGTGCCAGCCTCAACAAGCGCGTTACATATATGACTTAGTGCCGGCCTCAACAAACGCTTTACATATATGACTTAGTGTCAGCCTCAACAAGCACTTTACATATATGACTTAGTGCCGGCCTCAACAAACGCTTTACATATATGACTCAGTGCCGGCCTCAACAAACGCTTTACATAAATGACTTAGTGCCGGCCTCAACAAACGCATTACCTGTATCGGGTGATCCCCTGTCGATATAGACGTTTCTTCACAAAATGGATCACACGTTTATTCACAGAATGGATCAGACGTTTATTCACAGAATGGATCAGACGTTTATTCACAGAATGGATCAGACGTTTATTCACAGAATGGATCAGACGTTTATTCACAGAATGGATCAGACGTTTATTCACAGAATGGATCAGACGTTTATTCACAGAATGGATCAGACGTTTATTCACAGAATGGATCAGACGTTTATTCACAGAATGGATCAGACGTTTATTCACAGAATGGATCAGACGTTTATTCACAGAATGGATCAGACGTTTATTCACAGAATGGATCAGACGTTTATTCACAGAATGGATCAGACGTTTATTCACAAAATGGATCAGACGTTTATTCACATAATGGATCAGACGTTTATTCACAGAATGGATCAGACGTTTATTCACAGAATGGATCAGACGTTTATTCACAAAATGGATCAGACGTTTATTCACAAAATGGATCAGACGTTTATTCACAGAATGGATCAGACGTTTATTCACAGAATGGATCAGACGTTTATTCACAGAATGGATCAGACGTTTATTCACAAAATGGATCAGACGTTTATTCACAGAATGGATCACCTGTGTTAGTTTGGACAGTGGTGTCGACCACCGACCGCTCGTAGGCAATGGCAACCTGCTGAACCTAAACTCGCCTAGAAAATAAAATAGACACGAAAACAGTAGATTATAATTAGGCTAAATAGGTGAGGCCTAAATGATCAAACTGGCACATACACGCCATGATGTTGAATGTGGGAAAGTGTTGCAATCTTTCAGTTGTGACCCCGGCATTGACGTCAAGACTCCTTATGGACTTGGAACATCTGTCCTCTTGGTGTCTTGTGACCTCCTCCTCCCTGGCAGCATCAACATGGTCATCACCAAAAACGACACCATAATGTAATGACGTAGAAAACTCAACACTCTATCAAAAGTAGACGTGTTGGTACTGAAACTGAGGCTGTTGCCCTTATATGAACTCGAACAATTTCTAGAAATGCAGCCAACATCTGAGATGTAATTTTTGGCCATCTATTGCTCGTGCATGTCTCGGCCAGTGTGTCCTTGATGTCCGGTGTCTATGGTGCTGCTGGTCGGTCCCTGCCTTCTGTGTCAGTAACCATACTTCCGGTGTAGATCTATAGGAGCAACAATCATGTTTGCTGTATGACAACAGTAGATGCTGTCTGCAAAAGCCAGCAGTTCCCCAAACAGAACTGACCTCACGTGTAGCCATCTGTCTGTTCCATTCGTCAGGCGACACACCACCAGTGAATCAATGCCCGCCTAAAGATCTAGTCAATTGTTTTGTTGACCCCTGTGACCCCAGATTCACCTCGTGCAACAACGTTCCAACAGCTGCATGTTCGTAAGTATCCCTTCTGTAAGATCATCTGCGTCAGTATGACGTTCTATAAGATCACCTGCGTCAGTATGACGTTTTATAAAATCATCTGCGTCAGTATGAAGTTCTATAAGATCATCTGCGTCAGTGTTACATTCTATAAGATCACCTGCGTCAGTATGACGTTCTATAAGATCACCTGCGTCAGTATGACATTCTATAAGATCACCTGCGTCAGTATGAAGTTCCATAAGATCACCTGCGTCAGTATGACGTTCTATAAGATCAACTGCGTCAGTATGACATTCTATAAGATCACCTGCGTCAGTATGACGTTCTATAAGATCACCTGCGTCAGTATGAAGTTCTATAAGATCACCTGCGTCAGTATGACGTTCTATAAGATAAACTGCGTCAGTACGCCATTCTATAAGATCACCAGCGTCAGTATGACGTTCTATAAGATCACCTGCGTCAGTATGACGTTCTATAAGATCATCCGCGTCAGTATGAAGTTCTATAAGATCACCTGCGTCAGTATGCCATTCTATAAAATCACCTGCGTCAGTATGACGTTCTATAAGATCATCTGCGTCAGTATGACGTTCTATAAGATCATCTGCGTCAGTATGACGTTCTTTAAGAATACCTGCGTCAGTATGCCATTCTATAAGATCACCTGCGTCAGTATGACGTTCTATAAGATCATCTGCGTCAGTATGACGTTCTATAAGATCATCTGCGTCAGTATGACGTTCTATAAGAATACCTGCGTCAGTATGAAGTTCTATAAGATCACCTGCGTCAGTATGACGTTCTATAAGATCATCTGCGTCAGTATGACGTTCTATAAGAATACCTGCGTCAGTATGAAGTTCTATAAGATCACCTGCGTCAGTATGACGTTCTATAATATCATCTGCGTCAGTATGACGTTCTGTAAGATTCCCTGCGTCAGTATGACGTTCTATAAGATCACCTGCGTCAGTATGCCATTCTATAAGATCACCTGCGTCAGTATGCCATTCTATAAGATCACCTGCGTCAGTATGCCATTCTATAAGATTACCTGCGTCAGTATGCCATTCTATAAGATCACCTGCGTCAGTATGACGTTCTATAAGATCACCTGCGTCAGTATGCCATTCTATAAGATCACCTGCGTCAGTATGCCATTCTATAAGATCACCTGCGTCAGTATGCCATTCTATAAGATCACCTGCGTCAGTATGACGTTCTATAAGATCATCTGCGTCAGTATGCCATTCTATAAGATCACCTGCGTCAGTATGCCATTCTATAAGATCACCTGCGTCAGTATGCCATTCTATAAGATCACCTGCGTCAGTATGCCATTCTATAAGATCACCTGCGTCAGTATGACGTTCTATAATATCATCTGCGTCAGTATGACGTTCTATAAGATCACCTGCGTCAGTATGACGTTCTATAAGATCACCTGCGTCAGTATGCCATTCTATAAGATCACCTGCGTCAGTATGCCATTCTATAAGATCACCTGCGTCAGTATGCCATTCTATAAGATCACCTGCGTCAGTATGCCATTCTATAAGATCACCTGCGTCAGTATGACGTTCTATAAGATCATCTGCGTCAGTATGCCATTCTATAAGATCACCTGCGTCAGTATGCCATTCTATAAGATCACCTGCGTCAGTATGACGTTCTATAAGATCATCTGCGTCAGTATGCCATTCTATAAGATCATCTGCGTCAGTATGCCATTCCATTTTGCATATTTTTAAATGTTATATTCTATGGTAGCATCTTTGTAAATATGGCATTATGTAGTACCATCTGTGTTTCTGTTGTACCATTTTTGTTTCTGTAGTACCATCTGTGTTTCTGTAGTACCATCTGTGTTTCTGTAGTACCATCTGTGTTTCTGTAGTACCGTCTGTGTTTCTGTAGTACCGTCTGTGTTTCTGTAGTACCATCTGTGTTTCTGTAGTACCATCTGTGTTTCTGTAGTACCATCTGTGTTTCTGTAGTACCATCTGTGTTAATGCAACATCTTTAGGAGCATATTTTAAGTGTGGCATTCTATGATAGTATCCTTGTAAATATGACATCATCATCATGTAGCAGGTCCTTTGCAGAACGTCGCTCTCATCACAGTCTGCCTGAAAGAAACTCGGTCTCTCGCCAGTTCGCCTGCCTCATATACTTTCATACTCAAGGAGTCACTTATATCCTGTGCCCATCTTCGTGTCGGTCGGCCCCTGCCCCTCCTTCCTGGTACCATGCATTCTGTTATAGTTTTTTCCAATCCGTTGTGGCGCTTGATATGACCAAAATATTTCAGCTTCCGAGAAAGGATGCTGTTTATTAGCCAATCTTCCTTGATGTTCAGTGCTTTTAAGATGCCAATATTTCTCCTCTCCTCTTCTTTGTTCAAGATATTCTGAGAATCTTTCCATAGCATTTCAGCTCAAAAGCCCCTATTCTCTTTCTTAAGGACTGAGATATAGTCCACGACTCACATCCGTATGTAGACACAGGCAAGATGTATGCTCTTAAAATTCTAATTTTTATCTCCTTGCTGGTGCTTAACCATAGACTTTTAAGGCTGTTCAATGTTTGCATTGTCAAGGCCATCCTTCTTTTAATTTCTGTTGAACAGTCTCCATAGCTGTTTATTATAGAGCCTAGATATTCAAAGTTTGTGACATTTTTAATTTCTTCATCATTTATTGTTATTTTTGGGTGACAGCCAGTTTTATCTGTGGACATTATTTTCGTTTTCTTTAAATTCAAGAACAGATTTTGATCTTCACTGTGCTTTTGGACAGACAATATTAAATTTTCGATTCCCTTTACGCTGTTCGAAAGGAGGACTGTGTCATTTGCTTAGCGAAGTTCCGGAATAGGGTTGCCACCTATTTTAAGCGGATCATAACTGTCACAAGTCTGGTCATTTTGGACATTTCTCATTATATTTTCTGGGTATATATTGAATAGGTTTGGTGAGAGAATGCACCCCTGCCTCACCCCCTTTTGCACCTTGAACCAGTCAGATGTTTCACCAGCTGCTCTGATGGCTGCTTGTTGTTCATGATAGAGATTTTCAATTAAATGCACTAAATGCGCTGGAAACCCCATACTTTTCATAATAGTCCACAGTTTGTGGTGCTGGACACAATCAAATGCCTTGCTATAATCAATAAAACAAGCATGATAATCTACATTGTATTCTCTGCATTTTTCAAAAATTATTCTCATATTAAAGATGTGATTCCTAGTTCCTCTGCCCTGTCTGAAACACGCTTGTGCTTCATCTAGCTCATATTGTAATTTCCTTTCAATCTTTTTCATGATAATTCGTAAGAGGATTTTGCTAGCATACTATGATATAATTTGTGTAAATATGACATTCTATAGGATCATGTTTTTAAGTGTGGTCTTCTATGATAGTATCCTTGTAAATATGACATACTATTATAGAGTCTGTGTAAATATGACATTCTATAGGAGCCTCGGTGTAAATATGACATGTTATAGGAGTATGTTTGTAAATAAAACATTTTATGGAATCGTCTGTATGAATATGTCACTCTATAGGAGCATTTGTGTAAATATGACATTGTGTAGTAGCATGTTTGTAAATGTGACATTCTATAGTATAATTCCTGCAATTGTGACATTCTCTGCTAGCTTGTCTACATGTAGTATGTCCCTGACAGTAGGTCGCTGTCGTCTGCCGGAAGGAAACTCGGTCTCTCGCCAGCTCTTCTGCCTATACCAGTACCCCTTATCTCAGTCTCTGTGTGTCTAACACTGTGCCTCTGTTATCAATGTCTCTGCAGTTGCAGTTCATCAGTGATCTGTGAGAAGAGTGTCTGTATTCTCTGAATATTTCTATAGCTGAACATGAGCTCTCATTGTCTACCTTGAATAAAAATAAAGTTCGTTCGTTCATTTGTTGGTCCGTACCTTAATGACAGTACGATAGTCCGCGACACGCCAGTGTCTTCTACAGGAAAGATTAATGCTCCCACTTTTGTGCTTGACTTTGCATTGTTATGTCCATCCTCCTTCTGAATTCAGCCCCCCGCCCCCCCCCCCCACACACACACACACACAAGAGATATTCAAAGCTTGTGATAGTTTCAGTTTCTTTGTCATGTATTTGTTTTTTATTTGGGGAGGTGGAGGGGGTGACTGACAATTGTGCCTTTAGACAATATATAGGTTTTGATCTTCGCTGTGTTTTTATGCTAGCATTATTAACGTTTCCATTCCACTGAGTTTGTTGGGGAAGAGAACTGTGTCATCTACATTGCTAAGTTCTGGAATAGTGTTGCCGCCAGTTTATCAGCGGATCATAACCGTGAAAGATCTGGTCATTGTAAACATCTCATGTGCTCTCCTGAATGTTTCTGGGAAGTAAAGGCTGTCGGCAGGATGTTGACCACGTCATTCACCGAGTGCTTGCTGGTCTATCAAAAATATGTCTAGCCCTGTATACCCACACACCCCAAAGCATGTGCAAGGATCCTTTAGTATGCTGTCTGCAAATATTTTAGATAGTTAAAGTGAGGTTATGCACCCATGCCTCACTCGGTGGTGCTCCTTGAGCAAGTCCGATGTTTCTTTAGCTTCTCTGACATCTGCTGACTACTCACAATACATACTGTCCGTTATGTTGACTAAATGCGCAGGAAACCCCATACTTGTTATAATAATCCACAATTTCTGATGCTGGTCAAAATAGAAAGTCATTACTATAATCACGAACACAAGAATTCAGAAAAAAAAGCTATATTTTTCAAGATTATTCTCATATTAAAGATGTGATCCTTAAATCCTCTACTCTCTCTGAAACTCGAGTGCGTTTCCTGTAGCTCATCCTGTCTTCCGTCAGTCCTCTTCATAATAATTTGTAAAATGATTTCCTTGACATGAGTGACTCGGGCGATGGTACGCTAGCTGGAGCATTGTTCCACATTTTCTTTCATTGGGAAACAGATATAGATTGTTCTTTTCCACAGTTTAGGCCAAACGTCGCTGTTCAAGGACTTAGTGCACAGTACATGGTAGATTCACACGCTGGCATCTCTTCCTGCCAGAATTAGTTCTGCTGGTATTTTGTCGCAACCTGGTGACTTTCCTTTCTTCAGACTGTGTATTGCTGATCACACTTCACACTGTAAAGCCTCTGATTCTTTATAGTCACTTTCATGTTGTTTCTGAATGACTTCTCGGATTCTCGTACATATATCTACAGTATTCTTTCCATACTTCTAATATGTCTTTGGTTTCTGTTACCGTGTTACCGTTTTTATTATTGATTACATGAAATGACGGCCTGAATTGGCCTTTTAATGTTCTAATTTCTGTAAACGTGTCCCTGTCATTTCTTTGCATCTGGGGTTGTTCTGTTCAATTACATCTACTCATAGTAACCTGTTTATTGTCTTCTCTTACAGCTGTGCCGATTTCTCTCGTGGAACTTCTATAAACATGACTGTTTGCTTCTGTTCATGTTTGTTTTAAACTCCTCGATTCTTCTATTAGCTTGTGATGCCATTTTATCTTTTGTGTCGTTTCTTTTAGGGATCATTGTTTGAGTTGATGAGATGATGATGATGTTCCGTGCTGTGTAGTTTCATGTTTCGTGCTCTGTAGTTTCATGTTCCCTGCTGTGTAGTATCATGTTCCATGCTGTGTAGTTTCATGTTCCGTGCTGTGTAGTTTCATGTTCCATGCTGTGTAGTATCATGTTCCATGCTGTGTAGTTTCATGTTCCGTGCTGTGTAGTTTCATGTTCCATGCTGTGTAGTTTCATGTTCCATGCTGTGTAGTATCATGTTCCATGCTGTGTAGTATGATGTTCCGTGCTCTGTAGTATCATCTTCCATGCTGTATAGTATCATGTTCATTGCTTATAGTATCGTGCTCCGTGCTCTGTAGTATCATGTTTCATGCTGTATAGTATCATGTTCCATGCTGTATAGTATCATGTTTATTGCTTATAGTGTCATGTTACGTGCTCTGTAGTATCCTGTTTCGTGCTGTGTAGTATCATGTTCCATGCTGTGTAGTATCATGATTATAAACTCAAGTTGACATGTAAAATATATGGAGAAGTGAATTAAAGAGTAACGTTAGTTAGGGTAGGTGAGCTGCGTGTCCTAGAATGGATAATGAGAACATGGAATGGGTAAGCCTCTCATGCAGTAGTACAGGATAGTACGAGCTGGCATCAGCTGGTTAAGGGTCTATGCTCCATCAGTTGTAATTGCTGTGCTGACATGTTTCCATGATAACCATGCCCTGTTTCTAGTGACCAAATCTTTTATTTGTCATTGACAGAAGTGACTACTGTGGGGGCTGTAAAGCCAGATGGTTCCTGCCGGACTGCAGTGAGGCCACCGAAACCTGCAACAACAGCATCGCACAGAAGACTTAAGTGAGCAGTGTCATAGACAGATCATCGCCGTGTGTGTGTGTGTATGTGTGAGACGACACACAGCGGCGCTTACACTATATGAGAACATTCATTGAAGACAAATAACTATACGTTTACAGTCAGTGATACGCAGTAAAGAAAACAGATAAAACAAAAACATAACATCAAATGGTTTGGCCATGTGGTCAGAATGGAGCGCAGTCAGCAAGCAACTAGTGCGTACTTCATGACAACAACAGGCTGCAGGACAAGAGGACGACTAAGAAAGAGTTGGGTGAGAGAAGTAAAAGAAACACTGCAGAAACACAATATGACAAAACTAACAAGAAACAGGAAACGACATATAAATGTCCCCTCGGATGTCTAACGGCA